CTCAGGAAGTCTCCAGCTGAAGATTGACAATGCTAAGATAGAATCCAAATCAGCTTGTGATGTTCAATTGGTCTCAGCATATAACACTATGTTGTTGGACTCAGACATAGTGGTAGATAACAGCATTGCAAAAGATGTATTGGACAACATTATTCATTTATATGTTACTGTACAGTGTTTTTCACTGGCCAAAGATGTTATACAGAAACACAAAATTCAGTGTAAACAAATGAAGACAAAAGCACTATGAAAGGAAATTTGTAGAGCCAGCAAAGAACAAGAAAGGCAGATATAGTAAGAGCCTGCAACAATTTGTCAATAAGTAATTTATTACAAAAGATTAATTTGGTAGCTACAACCTGCAACATATTAAATATTGCTCATTGATGATTATTTTATAGACAAAAATGAGTATAAAGGCTATATAGTTAAAGTATCTAACATGGAGTAACTTGTTTATTTTCAGCATTTCTAGTCATAGTTAATGTTGAGTTTCTTATCTAACATGCTACTGTATATACATTTATTTATTAAAGCTAAAACCTTTGGAAGCTAGTTTCTTAGAACATACTAATACAATGTTATTATACGTAGTTGAATGTGAACTTAAATAGAAATGAATCTCTTTTTGGGCCTATTACTCATTGTCTTTTTTTTTCCTTTGGGACAGGATGGTTTGAAATATTAATCCATGCCTTGTCTCTATCTCTTCTTCCTCTTGCGTTACCTGATTGGCAGGACACTGCACGTTGGACCATGATGGTATTGTTATTGTACCCAAATGTTCTCATGTCAGGATTGTCACTTCTTCGTCCCAGCTTTCTTTGGTTGTCAAAGTACTCTTTGACAGAATCCTGGCAATTTCTCTCTGTAAGTACATATTCCATACCTTCACCCAGGAGGAAATTTGTTGCTTCTACAGCAGAGTGGGCTGTAATTTGCAAACCTTCATAAGTCTGCCAGGATAAAAGCATACGGCTTTGGGCATTTTTGGAAAAATTCCCAGGTCGGTTGGTTATGCTTTCTTTCCAATCCCTTAGATGGCCAAGTGAATCGGGCATCATTCTGTGATGTTTATGGTGCCAAAAATGGTTTCCTCTTTCTCTCGTGCCCTTTCGTACTTCAGGCAATCGAAGAAGGAATCGATCATGCTACACAATTTGGCTGTTGCTTACATCTCTGGAGTTCCAAACTCCCTCAACACTGATGCACTTAGTACTTGGGCTGCCAGATTAACCCTCATGGTGGAATAGGAATTTAACTTAATATGATCCTAGGTTATTCTTGGTAGCAACTTCAACCCATTTTCTACATCTTGGTAAAATAGGTGAGCTATGTGCTGCCAAAGAATAAAATGACCATCATTCCACATGTACCAAAAAAATGAAAATAAATCGAAATTGGAAATACATTAAATTTCTATTGTTGCATTATTTCATTGTTGCAATTACATGTTTAACAAAAACAATAACAAAACAAAAACAAAAAAACAGGCAAACAACTAATGCTGACAAGGAAATACATTGTGAGGATTGCCATTACAAATGCACCATAAGAAACATTGATGAATTGATTGCAAAAATAAGCAAAGACATTTTAATGTCTTTTTTAATATCTGTGTACTTAAAAGTACACAGATTTCAATGCCCATTTGTGATTTTAAGACATCTTACCTGGTACATGATCCATGGCCAGAACTGTAGAGGCAGTTACGTGTTGTTTTCACTAGGTGAGGAGCATCTGAAAAGAAATAGATGAAGCGGTGTGTGGCATACAAGTTGATAGTGCGGTAGCACACATCACCATCAGCATTGCCATCTAGAGCTTTGTGCATTCGGAAGAACCTCCTGTTCGGTGTTGCCCC